GTTCAACTTCTTTTTGTACTAGTGCTTTTAAAATACGCCTGGTATTTTTAAGTAGATGTCTAATTCTATATACCTACTGGTTTTAATTTGAAACTATAGATGAGTAAAGAAAAAGAATTCCTGTGTTATGAAACCTTTTAGGTCAGATTCTGAGAAAACAGTGATTTAGCTGAATTCAGTAGAATCGTTAAGGTTTTCATGAGCTCAGTATCTTTCTTCTGAGCTTGTATTTTCATTGTCTTTTTCAGTTTTCACTGTAGATAGGATCACAGATGGCTACATAGAAGTACAGATGCTGTTTTCCTACTGTGGTTTCCAGTACTGCACAGGGAGGCAAATGCAATGACTTAATATCTGATTCTTTTCAGGTAGATCGAACAAAAATGTCCCTGTCATACTCGTTTGGTCTGCTTGACTGATTCTTTATGCTGTTCATTGCCATACATTTGTATGGACTGTGTAAGCTTCAGATGATGAATGATATGTACATAAAATGTATGTACAATTAGTACAACAAATATATTGAATAATGTGGTAGTCTGATATGACTGCTTCAGATGGCTTTTACTTTGTGTTGAAAAGATGGTGCAATTGTTCTGTTATAATGCAGAAACCTGCAAGAGTTTTTAACTATGCAATTATAACAATTATTAGTGTGACAATCTCACTGTTGATGTAATGCAGCAATTTTCTCTGATTTCCCATTAATTCTGTATTTATGACATATTGATATTATCTTGATAATATAATTCTAATGCATATCGTATCTAATAAAATTTGATTTAGAGCTGCACTTTTGTTGGCTTTTCAAGAACTATTTATTTCATAGGGTGTAACAGAAAACAGTTGGAAACGTTAAGAATTTCTCTTTACTTTCCCAGGGAAACTCAGTTACGTGCTAGAGCCTTACACTACTTCTGCTTTATTGAGAAAAATTATGCAGACTTGTTAAGGAGAGGGTATGGAAAGGTGCATATGTATATCGCTGGTACAAATGAGATCATGCACTATGTTCTAGTATAACTCTGAAGATAACATGGAATGTTGTCCTCTGCTCACAGTCTCTTACAGTATCCTCTATTTGGTCATAAAAGCGCTGCAACTACCTGTATATTATGAAACAACAAAGGAAAGCAAGCAAAATATAGAACAAACTGGAAAACATATTTATGAGCATCATAAATAGCTATAACAGTTGCAGGCTGACACAATAAAGGTACTGTTTATGCATTTTTTTCTACACCAACAGTAATTATACTGCACGTTATCTAAATCTCCAGTTATACTTTTTGTTAAGACTGCCCATGATTGTATGTAGCACAAAGTCATAAATATTTTGTGTAACATGGGATTCCTATTGAGAAGCTTATCAGTCTTAGCTTCTCTGTGATTCCCTCTCCCCTGCCCCAAAAATGACTCAAGTTATTTCACACCATCAGTTCCTAAAAGGTCAACGGTGATCTAATAATATATTAATTTATCAAAAATGCTTACATACTCTGGGCATATGAGTCTCAGTAGCATGGATATCAACTTTCATACTTGGATCATTGGGATATTTGTCAAGTCCAACACTGAAATAGCCTATTGACTTACTTGTAAGAAGTTTCTTGGCTCACGTTCAATCTCATTAGAACCGTAGAAGGCCAAATGCTTTACAATAATTGGATTTAATTTCTTTCTCAACATTTTTTTGTATTGATAACTGGTGGTGAGTTAGGATTCAAATACAGTACTGGGAGAGGGAATCTCTCCTACATGTAAGTATGGGTGCCCACCAGCCTTTAATGTTGTGAATTGAGGGGGGAAACAGCAAGCACATTTTAAATGACTAAAAATATTTTGAAGAAAAATATTGGTTTAGCTTTTATAGTGTTCCTTATTCAGTGCCTTAATTTCCGAGAGAAAGCTTTGTGATGCTGTAATGAATTGATGATAAACTACTCGATGCTCTACTGAATTGATGGTAAGTATGATATATTCAGCTTAAGAATTCTTAAAAATAAACAAACAACATTTTCTTACATTGTAAAAACTGTTCTGTTCTCAGACAAGGTCAGCCATACCTAATGTACCAAAGAAGCATTAGAGAAGTACTCTTCAACTCAGACTTGAAAAATAATAATAAATACATAAATAAAATATCAAGTTTTTACAGCAAGTTTTAACATGCTTCTGACATACATGTATGTTGAACCTTATACCCAGAGTTAGTCCATCCATTATGGAAGAAGTAGGAATGATTCCTGACCTCTTCAGGGCTACTCAAATGTGACTGAAACTTGTTATCCTTGGCTTATTTTGCTGAAAATGCTATTAAACTATTGTTGCCCAGCTTTTAACCCAATTAGTCTCACAAATGAGGAAAAAACCCAAACAAACAAAAAAAAAAAAACACCTTTTTTTGAGAATTGATTTTAGTTTTCTCTGGGAGGATTACCAGTAGCTTTTGTTTTACAGAAGTCAGACTTAAGCAACTTAACATTATGTATTAAGCAAGGGATTATTTCAGATTTAAACAATAAATAGTTTTTTAACTACTTGTGTGTGGATTGTCATATTGCCTTTGTATGCATGTATTCTTTCTACCTTTGGCATGTAATGCATGTTGACTTCAACTGCATTCAATTTTGGTATGAGATGGCAGATTTGCCCCAAGGTATCTAGTGGATATAAGCAAACCTGATCCCTGAGATGCTGAAAAAAAGAAAGAAGCTCTAAACTGCTGCCTTGAAACACTGTTTCTGAAGATGTCTTAACTCATTTTTTTTTCTGACATTGGTTAACCTGGTAGCTTTTGTGATTTAGATTTCAACTAGTCTAGTAATAAAATGAGAAGACTTTGTGAAACCTTGGATTTGATGTGCTTGATAACATGTTGTCTGAATAACACAAGTGACAGCATCTCCATGTTAGAGGCATAACCTGTTTCAGATATGTGAGGGGCTGTTATATTTATAACAGCTTCTGCTTCACAGGCTTACAAATGAAAAAAAAAAAGAAAAAAAGAAAAAAAAAAGAACCTTTTAGGTTTTCTTAATACTAAATAGTGTACTGCAGGTTATTTGTAGATGTTGAGGGCTCATCTATTTCTTGTACTTGTAGAATTTAGGCATCAAGAAGTAAAGAAGACTGGATTTTCCTAGTGCTGTTTTCTTTCAACTCCTCCATTCTCTCTAGCACATGTGAACTGTGAATTTATAGTGAAGTGATTCAGCACTGCTGACTCAATGGTCAAGAAAGAGAAGTCCAGAAATTCTTTACTAAGTTGGCTTTGCTCTTGTTTCCTGCTTCCTAAAATCCTAGAACTTTTGGCCATCAGTAGTGGTTGGATCAAGTCTTGCTGTCACTGCCAGAATTACTGCAGTTGTAATATTACATAAAATGTTGTGTAATAAAGCTAGGCAGCTAAGGTATGTTAAGTATTTAATATATAATCAGTGCTGTTTTGGACAGTGGAAAAGGAAATAGAGGTTTAAATGAATGAAATCAAACACTTTTTTCAATAATCACATGCCTGTGAAATCGCTCGTTTCTCTGCATTTCAACTGCAGACCTCAGTGGGCTGCATGGATTTGCTAAAGGTCCATGGGATAATTTGAGTTGAAAATCTAACCTGCTCAAAGCAAGGGTAATTATTAAGTTAAATGTATTTTTTTTTTTGTTATTTTAATGAGCTTCTGAATTGACTGGTTCTTAGCTACCAGCGAGGAGCTACCTTGAAAGTATTTTAGAAGTTTAAATGACCTTCAAAATAACTTGGCAGCAGCCATTTCTGAACTTTGAAATTTAAGCTGTTATTCCAACACTGATAGGGCATTTTTCTTTTTTGGTACTAAAGTTAGGCACACTTCTTGGGCAGTTGCATCTTTCTTTTAGCTGAATACAAATGAAGTATCATGAATTCTGAGTTCATATTTCCAACTTTGTATTTTATTTTTTTTTATAGGATGGTATTTAAGCTTCTAACTGGAAAATTAGTTTTAATACTTAGAAAAAAATAAAAGAAATGAGATGAGATGACATCAGGCTTCCTCTAAAGATGCTTGTGCAAGTCCAATGAGTTAGCTGTGATTCTGAATACTTACTATTCCATATGTGTGCTTGTAAGAGTATTAATAAATATCCTGTCTCACCTGAAACATACTTTTACATGTAAATGAAGGTGGTTAAAGAAGAAACTGGTAGAAACTTGCCCATGTTTTACCCACTTTTGTCACTCATGTGCCTTCCTTTCCCATGCAGACAAGTCATTCAGAATGAGGGGATTCCTACAATATTTGTAGAAGCATGTGTTGAAATTTTATCTGTGAATCAGTCACTACAAACCTATTATTTCACAAAGTCATTTTTGCTAATGTGTCAGGTCTCAGTCACAAGAGCAATAATACAATTAAAGTATGCAGTTGATGCAGCTGCTTGTTTTTGTGCAAGTTGATATGAAATACTGGGCCCAAGTACTTTCCAATATTTCACCTAAGACTTACGTTTTGCCTTACTGTTTTGGTAAGAACATTTTGCTCTTCAGCATCTTAACACACGTGCTGAGAGTTCAGTTAAATCAAGGAGTACTTCCAAAGGCAGAAACTCGGTCTACTAGGTAAGGGAAGAATGAAAATGTGGAGTCAGGAAAAACAGAAGAAAAAGTTGTAAAATGAATGCTGAACCTATTTTTGAAGCTGTAGTGAAATACTTGAGGGGAGAGAAATGTGAATCCAATCTGAAGAAGGAAGGCTGGAGAGCCTTCCTACCCCTCCCTAGGTGTGAAGTAGTTGTTCAGATCTTGGTAGTTGAGTAACCACATCAGAGAACTTCTGGCTTACTTTGTAAGAAAGAAAGATTAAGTAGGACTTAGTTCCCATCACCTGCTTTTTAAAACTTTATAGTTCTATTTCCTAACTAGCATTTTGTAAAATAAGATTGTCTTATTACTATTTATTATTATTCAAGTATTTTAGATTGTTTTGCATTTACTGGCTCCTACTCTTCCATCTTTACAGGAGGACTAGTTCTTACAAGCAAGATTCTGGATCACTTATCTACAAAGGTCAGTGGTCCTAAGATATTTTTCAAAAATATGTAAAATGTACCTGATTTAGGAACTACTAACACAAGGGGCAGAGAGAGACAAACTCCCATTGGTGATGTTAACCAACCTTTTAACAAGGCTGTGCATGTGGCAGTGTAACAGGAGACAGTTACTTTCTCAGTCATCAGCAAAGAAGAGAAACTGGTTTCTGTAGGTCTTGCCCCGTCTGCTCCTGCTTAACAAGCTTTACTATCTCAGAATTACACTGGTGGCTGTTTTGCATCCCTGAAGTCTGCAATATGTCCGTTATTTAGCTCATAAGAGCTAGCCTTAGGTATTGATGCCTGCTTTTCTATTTCCTGTTATTTAAATTATATGTTGTTTAACTTGCCATTTATCAGACCTCAAAGATTGTTATTACTTGGTAACTCAGTGTCTAGTATTTATCCAACATATTGCAGTTCTATGTCTTACTATAAAAGCATATCAAGTTACTGTTCTAGTTATCTATAATGATGCTACAGTTCAACGAAAATAGATGTATGTGTGCATTTGTGTATCTATGTTTGTATACAAACAAAAATCTGGCATTCTCTGAACTGCAGTATTGATATAGCATCTACATTATAATACAGTCTGCTTAATAGAGTACTGGCTATGAAATTGGGATGACTGAGCTCTACCCAAAGCTTTGCTTCAGTCACAGTCTTACACTAACAATAATGACACTAAAAGTATACTGAAATTAAATGTATTATATTTTCTGAAAAGTTCTGCCATTATTCTTCTGAAAATATTCGGTGTAAACTCTTGTGAAGACTTCCACATTAACAATTTTGTTGTTGTACAAGATATGTTAATGGGCTGCTTCATTAAGTGCATTTATAGAAATTTCTATCAGCACATATGCATTGAAGATAACTGAGTATCACATATGGCATTTCTTCATGATTCTTTCTTTTTTCTTACTGCTATTTCCAAAGAATGAAAGTAAAATTGGAACCCCTGCTAAAATAGTTACTTTAAAACAAAACAAACAAACAAAAAAAAAGGCATAAGTGAATGTTTTTCTGCTCTGGCGAACGTAAGTTTGTACTATATTTTGCAAAGGGAGAGAGTAGATTTCTCTCCCTAAAACAGGAAAACAGGTTACGATCTTCCCATATTATCAGTGTATTTAGTCAAACTTGCAAGAGTCTGTGTGATGACTACTTGGCACTTCTAAGGAAATGCATAATTTTTCAGTCTCATAATAATCTTTGCATTGTTTTATTCTTATATATATTTCATGTGTAGGTATTTGTACAAGAGCATATATAATCACCTTAATTCTTCTTGCTACGCTAGGAGAGTGATTATATATTCAATAAGACTGTCAATAAATTTAAAAAGGGAGAAAATTTAATTGTGAGTGAAAATAAAATATTTTTGAGTTGTGTGTATAATGTTTGTATATGGAAAGTTTCTGTCAAAGCTCTTCGAAGTTTGTTATGTGCCAATGTGATCTCACACCTTTAAGTATGCATAGCACCAAACATAGGCTTTGTAAAACTAAGAAATTCTACAGTTCTCTCTCATTTTTTTTTTATATAAATAATTATTTTCTTAAGGTGTACCTCATGCTGTTAAGACCGATCTCTAGAAAAAATAAAACAACAACAAAATGTCTGGAGCTTAAGATCTGGGTCAGTTAGATGTATTGGAGGGCTAAAAGGATGTCTTTTTATGTGTCTTCAAGTGAACAGCTTGAGCACAATCAAGTCTGACAACAGTAGCATTTAAGATGTTAAAGTGCCTTGTCCTTAATTATAGAAGAAGTTTGCCTCTAAAACTCCAGCTTTTCTTATATCTACCTCCATTCACCACTGTGCATTTCCCTTAACAGTAATAAAACTTCATCTGTGCATATTAGGGTTGCACTTCCTGTGATTCTGGGTTAGCCACTGCTGCGATCTAACAGTCTGGTTGTGTACAGGCTGTGCCTAAGCAGACTGAGATTCCCCATTCCCATATTGTGACCTCAGATGGGAAAATTCACCGGAAATACCTTCACACCAAGTCTGATGTGTTCATAGGCTGAAAATGAGCAATGGCATTATATCCTTAAGTATCTTTATAGGATATTCACATGTAAGTAAGACTAAAGTAGCAGTATTGGAAATCATGGAAAGTTCCTAGTTGTCACTTCTGATCAAGGTGTTGAAATTATGCCAAGAACAGTAAAGTGATGTCTGGATGCCACCAGACTACTTGTGCTGGTGTCACTCAACTTCATGTATACTCAACTTATAAGGGAAAGGAATTCCTTTCCCTTATAAGGAAGGTGAGAACCTTGATCAGAAACCAAGACTATGCAGAAGGCCTCTTTATTGACCCTACCCCCAAAAAAGAGGCAAAAACTGAGATTAATTCCTGAAGTTGCAAAATTCCATTATGTGTGTTAAGCAAGCTTAACTTTAGTCATAAATGATTCTCTTGTGATTCATTTAATGTACTACTGCCTTCTCCTGTTTTTTCCACCCTGTATGCGTGCGTGTAAAGGAAAGATGGAAGAAGTTTTAGCTGCTCATTCATAGGTGCCTGAGAGGTGTCTAGTAGCCTGGGAAAGCTGGCTTTTTCTGGAAGAGAAAATGACAAGCTGACTGCACTTTTTATGACCTTTTTACTGTTCTGTCATAAGTATCCATGGTAACATGACTGTTTCTTTCATGCTGGTATTGTAGCATCAAAATAACAATAAATGCTGATTTCAGTTAATGTGGTTGAATAAAACTTGCTACTACGTGTGCTGGAAAAAATACTATACTTGGGACAGAAACAGAAGTTGTCAGACATCTTTTTTTTTTTTTTTTTTTTTTCTTCTATGTACGTTGCCTTTTCCTTTTCATTTCTTTGTTCTCCCTCTCATTTGATCAGGAAGTGTGTGTAATTTAATTTATTAATTCCGTCTCTTTGCCACGTAAGTGCCTTATTAAGGGTCAAACTTTGCTTTGATACAATCCCAAATTACTCCTCAAAGAGTTGAATGCAATGACACACCAGCTTACACTATGGAAACTTTTATGCAAGTGATGTATAATGTAGTTTTTGCATGCCTTTCATATGACCCCCAAAATACAGCTAGAACTCCCTCTTATTATGATCAGATATTGTTCACTTGCAGCACTTGCAGACCTTTTTTTTTTTTTTAATGTGTGGAAAGTTTATTTTTGTTTAAATGATGTGTTCTCATATGATTTGCCATCCAGTGAACTTCACTTGTGTTAGGGTAGGGAATACTTCAATTCTGAAAGCATCTTTATTGGAAAATGTCATTTATTTATTTCTTTAATTGGATTAAGTAAAAACAGACAGAGTGGGAAAAAGAGTCTTAAACGCTCTGAAAGTCTTATGAATTGTTTCTGGTGGGTGAAGGGTTTTAGAGATGACATCAATGTTTCCAAAATATAATTTTAGAAGCTGTTTGTGTTCTCTGAACTTGATGTGGTAGTGGGGTGAATGAATATGTAATTGAAATATAACTTGTGAACTGTAGCTGCACAGAAGTGATACCTTTCCAGATCTAGTCTGACAGGCTGATTTGTAACTTGACACCTACTTCAAAAAATTCCTGCCTCTGTCTCATGAATCTTGTATAGATTGACTTCTAACAAATGGAGACTCTGATCATAAAATATTGGTGTTTCTTTAATTGCATTTTCTTTCTTCTTCCAGGAAGAATTCCTAGGATCTGTTCTGCTATTACAACCTTAAAGCAAAATGCTAGCCACTGCGTTCTCATCCCTCCCTGCCTGCCACTTAAACGGCGAGTACTAACAAATCCTTCAGGACGCGACTAGAGCCAGCGTGTTGAATAATCACAGGCGATCAGGCTGTGGGCTTGCAGCAGCAGCTTGCTGCCTCGTGACATCACTCCTGGAGCTCAAATCCCACTCTGAGCTCCCTCCGTTAGTCGGTCCGTTGGTCTGTCTGCTCACACAGAGCTACGGACCTCACACGCCGGGCAGGCAGCTCCCCCAGGCAAGGCTCAAGAGCTGCTGGGAGAGGAGAGGGGGTAAGAGACAGTGTGAAGAGCGATTAGTGGGGAACGGAACAAAACAGCGGAGCTACAGCATGAAATTCATCTGTGCTTATTACTTGCTGCCTCTTTTTCCTGCACTAGTCTTCAGCAGTAGGTGAGTACAGAGAGCTATTTTGTGTATAGTTCTCCTGTTTTGTTTGCTGTTTATTCTTTTAGATTCAGTATTCCCAAGAGAAATAATACGTATTTCATCTTGTACTAGAGTAGTAAGTTTAAAGTGCAGTTATCGTTTTTGATTCTTATCTTTCCCCTCACTGATCCTCTGAGAGATACTGAATCTTTTACTTGGCCTTTCTGGGCTTTTTATGATGTAAAAGAGCTGCTCCAATATAAGTTGACCCAGAGCTCATGAGGTGAAGGAAGACAGTCAACAAATATAAGCATCGTATGTGTGTATCTATCTATATATATACACACATACACACATGTATATATACAGCAGCAATAGCAAATACTCTGCTTCACAGGCAATAAGGAAGCCAAAGACCTGAAATTGAGAACATGTTAACATTTTCCCCTATTGAGTGCGGAAAAACAAATACTTGAACAATCTCATCTGAGTTGAGGCTTTTGCATCTGAATAGAGACCTAGGGCTTAGCTTCTTTACTGTCAAATACAGGTGAGATGTTGCAGTATTGTATCAATGCTAGGAAACGTGTTAAAAAGTTACTGCAGTCTAGAAGCGTTCCTTTCTGTGCAAGTATAATATATCACTGAGAAAATATGAACAAAATCTATTGCAGCCTAAAAATAAAAGCTGTTCTGACCGTGCAGTGTTCTGATAAGATAATGCGTATTGCACAGTTGCTCAGAGATGGTATGGTCTCTATGCTGTTGATATAACCTGTTCAGCAAAGGGAAGATAACACCAAAACACTATCTCATTGTTTCATTCATAGATGAAGAGTTAATGCCAGGTGTGGAGTAGATATGTCCTAATGACACTGTCCTCAGTTCAGGCTGCTTAGATTCCAGTTGCTTCTCAGAAAATAAGCCTTAATTTTAAGGAAAGTATTTCTCTGCTGTACTAATAATAAGCAACTTATAAGTCTGTAAAGCATATTATCAGAAGATAAAGGCATTTTCCAGGAAATTATCTGTTCCTTTATTCTTGGTCTTTTCTTATAAAATGTAGAATGCTTATTTGAAGTGTCCCCTAATTCCCCCCCCCTCCCCCCGCACTTCTTGTTTCAGATCTTAATTGTTTATAGGGTTAAAAAAAAAGAAAAAAAAAAAAGTGCCTGCTAAGTACTCAAGGTAAGATGTAGCAGGAGCACATCTCTGTATGTCCTCAAACCCAGGAAAGTGATAACCAAAATCTGAGTGGGAAAAGACCTGAATGCAGGGATAAGTGAGGATATCAAAATGCTTCAGTTATTTTATTATTTCACTCCCTTGGGGGGGTATAATTTTTCTGTAACACTTGTGATTTAAAGACTGCAGTGCCAGTCAGTATGAACAACTCCAATGCTCTTTGAAATACAAAACTCAGAGGAGAATTGTAACATACAGTGATTCAATAACTTTCCTTTCTGATTTAATAAGCAGTCTAAGCACTATTCACTAGCAGCCAAGTGTGAAACTTCTTGTGAATTCGTATTAATAGTTCTACTCATTTGAAAGTAGTATTTTCTTCTCTGAATTATGCCACAGTTTAAAAGAAGCGGGTGGGTGGGGTACCAAGCCACTTTTTGCAAATGCGAGTTTGCATCTTGCATGGTTTTGTATAGACTAAAATCTAGTGAAGAGATGTGGAAAATTAATATAATTTTTTATACTTTATAGGTTTTGTAAAATGCCAAGTAAATGACTTCAATGTACAGGGGACTGAACTGCGACAAGACGTCTAGTGTAAAACCCCAAAACAAGTGCCTCTTATCTTTATGAGGAAAACATTTTTCTGTATGAAAACACAAATTCATAAAAATTTGTAGTTCAGTTTTTCAATTTTAGTCATATATTTCCCCTCCAAAAAAAAAAAAAAAAAAAAGAGTTGGGCAGAATATGAAGGAGTTGAAGTTGTCACGTGAATGTTAATTATGAACAGTATCAGTTGGAGTGTATATATTCTTAAGAGTATAACTTTGTGACACATGATGATTTGTATTCTTATCAAACTGAGGGATGGAAATGATTAAAGAAATTCCATTTAAAATGCCCTTTGAGTATAGTATGTGTTGTAATGTGAAGTTTTGCTTTTGATACTAGATTGATCACTGCGTTCCAAAGGATATTGGCACTCTACCATAGTACTGGTGATTTACAGAAGTCTGGAGGCAGTGGACTGTCCTGGTCAGCAGCTGCCATCAGTTGCCTGATTTTTAACTGAGTTAGTTTTTCAACAGCACGTGTTAGAAGCTTAAAAATGATACGGTGCTATCAATATGCCATCTACTGGAAAGAGATTATGTTTTAATTTGCTCTGGTGGAAGACAGTTCAGTTAGCATTTCTTGGGAATGTACAGTTAATGCATTCGTTGGACCCAAACATAGCAGGTTTTCAGGAGCAATTGAGTTAGAAAAAAGCAGGGTCTAATATCCTGCTGTGTAAAATGCTTAGCTAAGGAAAAGCATCAGCCTCATGGGGCAGAAAGTTTTCCATTTTGAGTTTTTGTTGCATAAGTTTCTAGAGAAGCAGAGTATCCCTATTTAAAGCATTGGTGTTGAAACCACTGAGCGCAGTAGTTGATGCAGAAGTGTACAGCAGCTTTTTCTTCTTTGTCACGCAGTGAGGCTATCGTCTTTGCATCATGACACGATTTTATAGTTTTAGAAGACCACAGCACATCTTCAAGACTAATTGTAAACAAATAAGATTAGATGAGTTGAATGATGTTAATGCTCATGTTGACTTTTCTTTATTTACTTGTCTTAATTTACAGTATTGTTAAAAAGTGGAATATTGCTCTAAAGATTGTGTCATTTCTGATTTTCAGAGCTGTATGTAACTAATAGCTTGGCATAGCCTAAAGCCATATGCATGAACAAAATGTTAAATTGCTGGAAGTTTGTGTTCTTGAAATGGACACTTTTCTATACTAGTGATTACTTTTACTCATATTTCAAGTTTCTTCGTAGTGCCGAAGAACAAATGAGCTTAAGGTATATTGGTCCAGTTAACAGTGTGTTTAGATGGAAGGAGTTAAAGTCACTGCTCTGAAGCCCACAAAATGTTAAAGGGACTAAATTTGTAAAGGTGAAATTATTTTGGTACAAACTATCCTGAAGCTTGTGTTTGCTTATCCAGTTTTCTATTTCCTTGGACTGTTTGGTTTGGGCAGATGTAATGTGATGATGGCTCATGTGTTACTTTTTTATACTATGCTGAAGTCTATAAGTCTGACTGCACCAAGTGCTCAGTAAATTGACATGGCATGAAAGAGGTTAAGGCTCTGATATTTGCCTGTGTGCTTTTGTGGATGTAGCTGCCTAAACCTTCAAGCTGGGTAAAAAACTATTTGTAGAAGGGAGTATCTGCATGAAGTTACTTGTTTGGGTCAGTAATGGATCTGCAGTAAAGGTGATCTTGTATAATGAGACATGTCCTTTTTTAGCTAGAAGGGCCCTTTTCTGCATATTAATTAAACTTCACCATTGGAAGGCCAGATATTTAAATTCTTGATTGCCAACTTTTTTTTTGTCCAAATGACAAATATCTGACTCTTCAGAAGAGGCTTGGTGTGAAATAACATTCCTTTTTATCTAGGACAGTAATGAAGACATGGACTCTCCTGTCCACACATGAAATTTGACAGATGCAAAGTACTTAAAAAATTTGAGGTAGAATTTTACAGTTGAGAATAGGCCTATAAATCCAACAAGATGTACTTTAATAGCAATTTTAATACTAATACAGCAGCGTGTTAAGTGGATATACAAATAGCATGGCTACAAAAGTCAGATCCTGTATTATTTTAATGGCAGTGAAATGGCTGGTGCTATTTTTTTTCCTAATAGCTCAGTTCAAGGACAGTCTGAAGAAACTGATGTTATAAAGCAATCTAGAATTCAGTGGCTTCAGAAGAAATGCCACCTTTTGTTTTACTTTGGGATAACAGCAGTGTACTAATTTCTGCTTGATAGATGATGCTTAATGAAGGTATGGGTTTTGATCTATGTACGCCTGTTGTTGGAAGTCATGCAAATATCTTGAGTTCACTTACCTTATGAAATATGAGAACCTGACTCAAATGCTAGCTTTTTCCCTGTAATGAGTTTTTGAGGTCAGATATTTCCTTTACAGTGTTTGCTGGTTTGGGGAACTTGTATTAAAGAACATGAAAACACAAATATCTTTAGCTTCTGTCAGATAAAGTTTTATGAAGAACTCAGTCTGAGACTTGAAGATGAGTAAAGGGGAATGCCTTTGGCCTTTTACTGGGGTGTGTCTGTGTTTAAAATCCTTAAATCCTTTTTTTCTAGTTCTTCACCTTTCCCAACTTAAACACCCTTTGGACTATAGCCAGATGTTCAAAGTGACCTTTTCATTTAGACTTACATGAAAGTAGGGAGAACCCTATCCCTTGCTAGATTACGAGGTAGAAGACTGAGACTTACTGTGTGCTGATATCCTTGACTATAGCCGCTCCACTGCGATGTGTCTTAGCCAATGACTAAAAGCAACTCTACTCAGAGATCTCAGGCTGAGGTCCAGCAGTGTCCGTCCTTTTCCTTGTGACTCAAAGTGAACTGTGCATAATGGTAATGTGTTGTAGACTGTTTTAGCAGAGAAGAATGTGGGTTCTTGCTGTAAGCTTCACGGATAACGAAGACTGTTTTAATATCGTGCTTTCCGTATTCTTCTTGAAATGTAGGGGTGTTGACTCTACAATGTGTCTCCTGCTCAGAATTCCTTTCACCCTTATTTCAGCCATCTGAATTTTCTAGACTGCAAATGTGTTTTGCTTTTTATCAGTCTTGGATGATTACGTGTCTTGGGTTAACTGTTTGTAAGTACTTCAGTTGCAGAAGTGGCATTCAGTATATGATTCTCAACCTTTCTATACATGGAGAAAGCATGCTCTTTGCTGTGGACTGTGTTTAAAAGTAATGGGACACATTTTCCTGTGGTACAAAGCCATTATTTCAAGGAA